CTATTACTATTCCATTTTATAGATGAGGAAACTGAAGTCTCAGAACTAGTAATCACTAAACCCAGGCCTGCCTGACTCTGAGGTCTCTGCTCTGGATACAGCAGTGTACAAAATAGGGTCAGCAGAGAGACCAGGACAGGAGACCTTAATTTGGGAGTCACTTACATAAAGGGAGAGAGGGTCTAGAACAGAGGGCCAAGGGTCTCTTTGAATCTTCTTCTAAAGACGAGCCCTCAACCTCCATTTCCAGTCCTGTACTTGCTTCTAAACTCCCCTGAGCCACCTCCAGCAGCCCACCAGACTGTTACCTCAAATTCAACACGTTTACACTTGCTCCTTTATTTTCACCACCTCCCCAGCAACCAGTTCCCAACCTGACATTCCTAATTCCTTAAGCATAAAAGAGGATCAAAGTTTGTGTCAAACCAACCTGGGCTCAACTAGATTTGCCATATACAAACCATGAGGCCTTGGGGAAGTCACAAAACCTCAGATTTTCTTTTCATGTATAAAGTGGGAACAGTAATAACACCTTTCTGTGAAGGTGCTTGTGGGGATTCCATGAGATAATTTGTATACAGCATCCAGTCCAGTGTTTGGCACATAGCAAGTGTTAAGTAAATGGCATTATTCTTACTATTATCGCTGTTTCTCAGGCTTGAAACTTCTCTTGCATCCCATTTAGGGTTAATCCCAATGCTGAGAAATGGGAGGAAGAAAAGGGGCCCACAAAGGAGACAGTAAAAATTCAAAGCAATTTGGACTCTGTAATGACCTCATCCCTCTGGCTTATGGGGCTGCTTCTGCAGGGTCTCTTTTCCACACCCGCCACAGAGAGAGCTGGGCTCCAGCCAAGCGCCCCCCTGCTCTTCTCCCTCCAGACCTACTTACTTGGGGATCAATGAGCAGAGCTGTTACTTCTATCTCTTCCACTCCTCTCTTCCGTTCAAGCCTGCATTTTGTGTAACCTGCCTCCCCTAAACACCCTCCTTTCCTTCTAAGTCTCTAGAATCAAAGCTTTAGAAATCACCTAGTGCAAGCCCTCAAAAAATGAAGCTCTAAATTAAAACAGTCATTAAAAATTTTTTCTCGCACAATTAGAACGGGCCTCCACCAGTCCTTACTGCAGTACGTGCACTGGGCACAGACATTTGAGTTGTCACTGTGCATGGCCATAACCTCAGCTGTGGGTCTGTCTGTGACTTTACCAACTCCCCCGACCTCTTAGGTCTAGGATGCTATCAAGACCCCCCGGAGATCCCACACAAGTATGGATGGCTAATGACTACCGATAAACATGCACTGATGACAGTCACAAACCCACACACATTTGCACAGACTCTCATCCCCCGAGGCCCACAGTAAATATGAAAAGAGATGAAAGGAGACTCCAAGGAGACAGGCATGGTGTTTGTACATAGTGAGGGCAGAACAAAGGGAACGGGGAGCCTAGAGGTGGCGGGCAGGGAAAGCAGGCGAAACGGACTGAAGAATGAGTCAGAGAGAGTGAATGAGGGCACTGGGTCGCATCAGCTACCGCTCAGCTGCCCCCCAGGGGTGGTGTGACTGGAAGTAGGGAATGGGGGGAGGCGCGAAGGGGAGTTGATGTCATAGCTCAGAAAGTGGGAGCTGGAGTGCGTTGCAGACGGGGCGCAGAAACTCAGCTAATATCCAGGAGGGCTCTCGCCTTCCGAGGTCTCCCAGATCTTTCCTGCCCGGCTCTGCTCCCAGGGCTGCAGGGTTTTGGCAAGGCAGCAGGGATGTCAGGGGAAGGAAAGAGTTAAGCTAACAACAAAGATGTCAGTCCTGGAGATCACTGGACCCCTGCCCTGCGTGGCAGACAGAAGCCACCCGGTGGCTGCTAGTGCCCTCCATCTATTTAGAGCTTTCAACTTATTTCAAATGCCCACACACTGATGATCTCATTTAATCTTTGGCACAATCCTGTGAAACAGGCAGGCCTGGGATTATCTCAAACATGCTCCTCCCAGCTTTACCCGGTGGATCCCTCAAGAGCCCTCAAGCCCTCAAATTGTTTCCTCCATCCCAGAAACACCCAACGCGGAACCAGCAGTGCCTTGGGGACTGTAAGGAGACTGGGGTCCTCTGTCTAGGCTCCATTCTGGGCTTGCTGGCTGCTGTTCATCCTGGGCTGGGTGTGATAAGAAGTCACAGGATGTGGAATCATTCCCCTCCTGGAATTTCCCAGGCCTCTCTCCCCCTTCACTTATATCTGAAAGCCTGGCACATAATGACCATGTCACCCAGTCCCCAGGGAGCTGCGTCAGACTTCTCATCGGAAGAATGGAAACCTGAGGCCTAGAGAGGCAAAGGCCTTTGCCCTGAGTCACACAGAGAGCAAACGCGGAGGGATCCGTGAAGACTGGGAAAGAGCAGAGGTCTGGGGCCTTCAGAGGACCTGGGCTCCAGTCCTGGCTCTGCTGCCCATCAGCCCAGGGTCATCAAGACAGTCACGCAACCTCCCCAGCCTTGGTTTTCATCACTGTCAAACGGAAACAGTTACACCCATCTCCTGAGGTTGCTGGGAGGATTCCATGAGACGAAGATATAAAAAAGTTACATAAAAAATTACTCTGCACATCAAATAGCTCAGGTAACAACATCAGGACTCTGGCATAACGGAAAGAAGCTGGACCAAGTAGAAAGAGTACAGGTCCCTTCAACTCACATATGTGGCCCTAGCAAATTCGGACCACAGTTTTTCAAGGCCCCTGTAGCTATAAGATGGAGGGTTCTGTGGGCTATGCCTCTGGTGCAAGAATTCTGGTGCTGGCCGCCCTGATCTCTTGACTGCTTTATTATCTGTGCCCACATCGCCTTAGGTCCAAGAATTTTACTGAGGGAGACAATCAGTGGCCAACAAGGGAGACCCCATTGTTCCCAATGGAAAGGACCCCATTGGATCCTTTGCTCCATCCCCTCCACCCAGGTCCCCGGGGCTGAAGTACACCTCTGTACTCTCTTAGGCTCTGTTGCCTCCCAGCTTTAAGGATGGGTGGGGAAGGGGAGCAAGGGGTGGTGGTGGGGCTCTTGGTAATGAATCCGATGACAGGCTGCCCATGGAAGATCTCCCAGTGGAAAGCACCAGACCGCCCTATTCCTTTCCTCCTCGGGAGAGCTGAGTCTAACTGTCTTGTCTTTAATTCTGTGCCTCTCTCAGGATGGCTTCAAATGTGCCAGGCCCCTGATTCTTTCTCTGAGGAAGTGGCTCAGCATAACACTTACTGAGCTCCTGGAGGTGAATTAAATATTAAACAAGCAAAGCCAGCGCCCCTGGTGTGGCGGCACATTCCCGTAACACAGACAATGGCATGCAGTTTATCTGTCCCTCTTCCAGTGGCTGCCACTTGCCCTCTCCAGGCAGGGCTTCCCTACTCCCCAGCCCACACTCCAGACAGGGGATAAGAAATGGTAAGGTTTTGCTCTCCCCAGCAAGTCATCAGCTCATGGTTCCCTGCATCCTTCCTCCAATCACCAGTGTCGAGGGCTCCCAGGACCTGGAAATGCCTGGAATGTGGAGTTGAGGCATGTGCAACACTGAAATTTAATGGGTCTGTGGTTGGCCAGGCAGGGGAGCCTCCGGAGCTAAGGGCCACCAGGGCTTGGGAAGCGAGCAGCTCAGGAAGATCACTGAGGCCCTGATGTCTCTCAGAGCAATTGGAAAGTGGCTCTTACTGGGATGAGGCCTGGGTGTGGGGGCCAGTTGTTTTACTTCTCTGGTTAGAAGAGCCTCAGAGATCACCCAGGCCAACTCTCTATTTTATAAAAAGGGAAACTGAGGCTTGAGGAAAGGAAGAAGCAACTTACACAAGGTCATTCAAAAAGCTGTAGTACAGCCAGGCCTAGACCGCAGGTCTCCAGTATGTCCTGTCCTCTGCACGATCTCCTTCTGAAGCTACCAAGCAATGGCCCTGCACCGCACGGGCCCAGGAGCTGCTTTTACAGGAGAAAGACCCGTTCATGGTCCCGTCCTGCCGTCCAAGAACTGAAAGAGCACGAGGGCCACTGGCTGCAGCTCAGTTGTGTCACTTTGTAGGATGGAACCTCAGTCATGTCACTTCTCTTGAGTCTTAGTCCCTCACCTGTAAAATGGGGCTTTAAAACCAGTACCTCGATGGCTACTATCAGGATCAAATGAGATCATGGAGGCGGGGCATTTTGTAAACTGTGAAAATGTCAGATATTAAAATGGTGTGAGGTTTGATGGTGCTGCAGAGAGAGGACATCACGGGGAGAAGGCTACATCAGAGTGAGAACACACACCAAAAGAGGTGGAGGGCCCGCCTGGCATCCCCCAGACCTCATGGATACTGGGAACCACTGGCAGAGACTCACATGCAGCAGGTCAGACCAGCCCAAGCTCACTGGTTTGAGAGACTACTTGCCTGCTTTGCTGTGTGTGTGTGTGTGTGTGCACGTGTGTGTGTGTACCCCCTCCTAGGTGCTCTTGGGAGGCTCTGCCTGGCAGCCTGGAGTCATAGGAATTTGCCTGGCTTCTCCAGGGGAGCATTTGGCAGGAGGGCAGGACACTTTGCTTCAGGCCAGGCCACAGAACCTCAGAGAAAAGCCTGCCAGCCCAGGTCCCTCTGGGGACCTCTGGAGTGCCCCTGCTCCCACTGGGGCCCTTACCTTGTACTTGGCTGCGAGCAGCTCTGTGGCCTGCTGCTCCCGGCGCAGATCTTCCAGCATCTTCTCCTTCTCCTCCAGGAGTTTCTGCTTCTCCTCGCTCACCAGGCTGCGGTCATCCTGGATGGCCGCCTTCTCCTCTTCCAGCCGCTCCTTCTGCTCCTGAAGGTAATTCTCCATGTTCTTGTCCAAGGCCGACTCCAGGATGGGCTGGGGCGGGCGGTGGTTGTTGTTGTTGTCATCCTCCTCTTCTGCCACCCAGGCCTCAATCACTGGGCCCTCAGGGTACCCGGCCGGGGCTGACACGGCCTTCTTCCTGCGGCTGCTCTTCCTCCGGAGCCGCTTTCCCAGCATCCCCCTCTTCTCCAGCTGGGCCTTCAGGCGGGCGATCTCCTCCTGGAATTCCCGCAGCAGCGTGTCCTTGGGATCCTCATTCACCCGGGGCTTGTTCTTGATGTTCTTGGCCCGGTTGGCAAAGCGCAGGGTGGAGAGGCTCTCATCGTAGCTGTGAGAGGCTGGCCCGAGAGTGGCCACCATGATGGTCTTGGCATTCCCCCCCAGAGAGTCCTGGAGCAGCCGGGTCAGCTTGGAGTCCCGGTAGGGGATGTGGGTGCTCCTGCTGCCTGCCAGAGCAGCAATCACGTTGCCCAGGGCAGACAGAGAGAGGTTGATTTTGGAGGCTTCCTTAGGCCTCTCTCCACCACTGCCACTGCCTCCGCCACTGCCACCACCCGTGGACTGTGTGACTGTCCCGCCAGCTGTGTTGGAGCCTGCCTTGTTCTGCCTCTCGCTGCCAGCCAGGTCCACCAGGTTGAGCTTGCCCACGCGGATGTGGTCCTGGCCATCTAAGCCACGCTCACTGCACTCCACGGTGATGACAAAGATGGCATGGGAGCGGGAGCTGACCTCATTCATGTGTGTGCTACCCACCGCCCGGGTCTGGTTCCCCAGGTTCATCACGTGCTCGATCTCCTTGACATTCTTGGTGACGAAGGAGGAGAGGTCCTTGATATAGACGCCTGTCTCCGGGTTCTCCTTCAGCTCTAGCCTTTTGCCAGGCTCCTTGGAGAGCAGGTCTCGAATCTCCTCCTGGTAGATCTCCAGGTAGGAAGCCCGGACCAAGTACTGCTGGTTCTGGGAGCGTGAGATGTGAGTGAAAATATGCTCAAAGGCATTGGGGATGACCCCGCGCAGCTCGGGCTCCACCCAGGTTCCCTGCATAGTGTAGGTCTTGCCTGTGCCAGTCTGTCCATAGGCAAACACGGTGCCATTGAAACCTTGAAGCACTGAGTCTACCAGGGGCCTCACGGTTTCATCATACAAGTCTGCCTGCTTGGAACTGGCATCATACACGGCATCAAAGGTGAAGGTCTTGGGCAGCTCCCCTAGGGCAGCGCGGGGGTTCCGCAGGGTCACCTGGCCCAGTTTCACGTCCATGGTCAGGATCTGCTCGTGACCAGCAGCCTCCTCCTTCCGGCTGAGGGGGCGGCACCGGGCCACCACCTTCAGGGCCTCGCTGGCTTTGGTTTTACTGGCCATCTTGCTGCTCTGTCCTTCCTGCCCCCAGGCCCCCTCTGCAGCCTGGGAGGTCCTGCTGTCCTCCCTAGGTCCAGATCAGCGGGTTCAGCCCAGCCCCGAGGCGCCGTTCTTCAATCTGCATGCAGCCTCCTAGGGTGGGGATGCTGGGAGGTGGCCCCGCCGCTGCTGCAGTCCGGGCCTCCACCGCTCTCCGGTCCTCGCTGCACCGGCTGGGGAGGAAGAATTAGGCAGAATCCCCGGGCAGCTGCGGGAGCACAGCCTGCCGAATGGCAGTTCCCGGAGCCCGCCCCATGCTGGGGCAGAGGGAG